CTGCCCTGCCACAACCTCAGTCCCAGCCCCCACCCCCAGCCTCAAATATGCACCCCTGACACACCTCCCCCCATAACAGTCTCCAAGCCCTGGGCCTCTAACCCCTGCTTCTCATATATTTACCTGCATCCAGATGCTGAGGCTGCTCCCACTACCCTGCTTGGCTGCATGCCGGCTATGTGTGTGTGCACACAGACACATGTGATGCCCCTGCCCCCAATCACCCTCCTCCTGCTCCCACTAGCGATGCAGAGCAACACCCCAGACATTTGTTCAGATTTCAGAAAACTGCCTGGATGGAGATCGGAGGACCCCCCAAAAAGGACATATTCAGAAAAACCCAGATAACCCTATCCAGAGGTCCCTTCCAACCCTAATTTTCTATGGTTCTATGACTAACCAGGGATCTGAGGTCAGGAAACAAGCTGAGATCAAACCAAAGTCCAAATACCAAGCCAGAGGGTTAACCAGAAATCAGGGAGCCAGAGAAGTTACCAGGACAGGAGCCACGTGAGGACTGGAAACCAGTAAACTGTAAAGCAAGGCTCAGGTGCTAGAGAGGATCCTTAAGAGCAGACCTGGAACCAGTCACAGGGAAGGTGCTGGGGCAGAGCTGGCGCAGGTTAGTTTGTTCCTGCTGCAGCAGAGCAGAAGCTTCACTTCATCTTGCCCTGCAGACTGGGGCTCAGATGGCCCTGGCTAGTTCATTGGGTTCAGCTGACCCAGTTAATATGGCTACAGGGCATAAGCCTCACTTAGCTTAGTCCTGACAATCCTCATATCTATTCTGCAGTGGCAGCACATCCAAACTGGGCCATTCCCGAGTGGGCCTCATCCACTGTTCCCACAGGTATGCTCCAGACCCAGACATTGACTGGCCAGTGAGACTGCTCTTGAGACTTTGCCTTGTGGGTTGTTTAAGAGCAGCCATTTACAAACCCCCAGGAACGGCTGTTACTATGAGAATCATCACAGCACACAGGACCTGCAGGCACAGCCCTCGCTGTACCAGGCACTGTACAAACACAGAGACAGTCCCTGCCTCAAAGAACTGTAAGTGGGATAGAAGGCCCCAGACAGATGGGAGCACAGGATGACAATGAGGCCATCCTGGTCACTGGTCTCAGCACACGGGCAGCCAGCTTTTGTGGGCATTGCAGACAGCATAGGGGAGTTCTAGGGCTGGGTGTCAAGGGGGACAATCAAGTCATGAAGTCATGCTGTGGCTGTTTACAGGGGACTCCCCCCAAGCCACAAAATGGGAAGGCGCTTGTTTAAAAATGCATTTCTCTTCTCTGGGTTTGGAATGGATCAGACTTAAAATATCTGACAGTGTCCCTTTAACAGGGGATCGAGTCCCTTCGGCAATACATAGAGGTAAGTGCTGGGTAGTTTCTGATCTCCGACTGCCTGGCAGAGCAAAACCTGGTGAGTCCCGTTTAAGGAGCTTCCTGGGTTTCCTGTCACTTGGCGCAGGGGAACCTGCATGTTTGCTCATAAACAACCAGATCCTAAGAAGTGCTGAGCATTAGCCACTGCCATCATGGATGCTGTTGTGGGGGATCAGCACTTTCCTGCCTCAGACCTCATCACTAGAGCTTGGGTGCTGTTTTGCTGGCATGTGTGCGCTTGTGCCCAGCGTTGTTTCACAGCATTATGCTGCCCAAGTGCCTGTGATGATGTTTCTCTGTGGAAGAAGTGACAACTTTGGTATCTGATGTAATTCCCAGGAGCACTGAGGGAATCCTGCTGATTCACAGAGCAATTAGCGCCACAGCTCCCCACTTGCTTTGGGCTCTTCTCCTGGCAGAGGAAAGGGGCTTCCCCCAGGCTGCTCCCAAGACACAAAGGAGAACATCCCCTGGGGTGAACATCAGCAGTCTGAGCAGCTACCTCTATCTGTGGGCTCTACTCCAACCTATCTCCTCTTGCCTACTGCCCAAATGACCCACTCCCCAGGGAATCACCTCCTCTCACTGCAGCTCTTTGGCTGGGCTGTTCTATATAACATTTTGCAGAGAGCACTCAGATTTACAGTGTTCTTTGCCCTATTTTTATCTTGTATTTATAGGTTTGAGGTTGCTTGTTGTTTCATCCTTCTCCCTTGGTCCCTATTCTATAAACTCCTCCTGCTGATGTCTTGCTTGCCTGCTTATAGTTAGCTAAACTGCTTTTTCCTCAGCGGACAATGAAGAAGGCTCCTGGAGCTCTATCTTAACTCTTTCACTGCCAGCACCACTGAATTGTGGCTTGATATCAGGGTGGATGCACTCTTAGTGAATTGAGTCCTGGCAAAGCTGTTCCCTTTCACCTGAAGGACCAAATGATAGAAAACTATTAGCTTGCCTCAGCAGAATGTGATCTGTGATCACCATTCAGAGTTCAGTTTTGTAGTCCCTTCCAGCCCTGGTGTGTGGGCCTATGCAAACAAGAAGAGAGACTGGTTTTTATAGATACAATTTAGCAAGAACAAGCACTCCAGAGCTGAACTTTCAACCTTAAGTTCTTCTCTGGGATAGGGCATGGGACTGTATTTAGCTACAGGGAAAAAAATAATCCATCATTAATATTTACAAAAGCAGACACAAAGTCTGCTGTTTTATTCATACCATGATGACAGAAATGAAAAGGAGAATGATGCTACACTAAGTCATCATAAAATAGTCATGCAGACAGGCAAGGTGAGTTCTGTGAAGCTGTCACATTTTGCACACTGTACCTAACAATTCACATACATTATGTATGTGTCTCTGTGCACACACACACGTATACACACCTATATTTATATTCTTCTATCCCTTTCTGCCCCTATTTATTTCACATTATCCTGAGTCTTTCCTTCCTGCCCCTCTTCCAGTTTTTCACCATGGTTATTGGTCTTTCAGAATAGGCTGGCCCAGTCCATCCACTGTACTGTTATAATTCAACCCTACATTTTCAGATTGTTTTAAGAAAACCAGCTTCTCCCTTACATATAGATAACTGCTGCTGCCCTTCCAAAAGCCCACTGGAGAAGAAAATAACTAAGGAAAAGATCCAGAATATTAAAAGCAGTAAAATGCTAAAATAAAAACTGCATTGGAAAAAATGTGGACTTGGTCTTTTTTTAGGGGTGTGCGAAGCTTCAGTTACCAATTAAATTCAGAGAAGATTCGGCCCAATTCAGAGGCTGAATTACTGAATCTGAATTGAATTGGGAGAAAAAAACCCACGTCCCTATTGATTTGGAGCCTCCAAATCGATGTGGAAAAGATTCAGAGATTCGCAAGTCAGTCTTTCAGGGTAACAGAAACTGAGAAGAGGGAGGGGAAGCAGGGGGAAAGGCTGACAGCTGTAGCTGAGCAGTGACTGTGATCTTTCCCTGAGTTCCCTTCCAATCACAGTGCTCTGGGGGAGGGGTGTAGAAACACCATGTAAGCCTCTGTCTGCAGCCTTTCTGTCCCTTTTGTAAGCTGTTTCTGCCTGAGCAACAGCATCTGAAAAGTACTGCACTGGCTTGGTTTTCTAAATAGTTAGTCTCCTGCTAGTTTCTGTTCTTGGAAAGGATGGGATACAGCTTACTAACTAGAATTCCTCTACTCATCCCTATCCAATCCATTTCTTTCAACTTATTCTTCCCCAAAAACCTATTATTTGTTCTTGTTTTGTTTTTTTCCCCCCACACTTTTAAAAAAGAAAGCTGTGTTTTCCCTGGCAGTATGATCCATCACTGTGCAGGAAACCACATACATTACACACACTAACACACATACACAGAGAAGAAGAAGCGATATTATATAGTTACATGCACATACAGACTAAACACAACCCAGAAGAAGTCAGACAGACATACATCAGAGACAAAGAAGAGATATTATATAGTTACACACACATACAGACTAAATACAACACAGAAGAAGAAGTCAGACACAGTTATACACCAGAGAAAAAGAAGAAGAGATATTACAGCTGCATACACATACAGACACGTTTTCCAGCACAGGAAATATTAATATGAAGCATGCTGGAAAGGCAGGTGCCAGGTCTTCTGGTAGGGAAGGGAGAGAGGCTAGAGCAGGTAGGGGGAGAGCTAGAGCTGCAAGTCCCTGTCCCCCCCAAAAAAACATACACACATCCTCTTTCTGGGCAGCCATGAGTCTTTTGCTGCCAGTCGGAGCAAGGAGGTGGGAGCAGTACCTATCCCTGCACCTGCACCACCTCCCCTAACATCAGAAATAGCCACCAGTAGCAGAATAACAGTCTCCTCCACCCCAATTTCATCTCCCAGTGTGAGCCTCCCAGTGCCGGAGGAGGAGCTGGATCTGGAACCAGGGGACCTAAGCGCCCTAGGAAAAGAAATTCTGGGGAAGGAGCAGGAATCTGAGTTCACACTCCACACCTCTCAAAGTTCGCCTAGAGCCAGGTCTCCTTCTCTGGAAGGCACCTCAGAGGAGGTTGTGGGGGCAGGTGGCTCTGCTTCCCCTGTTGTTTTGGCTCTGCCTGCTGAGGAGGGGGATAAGGCAGGATCCCCACCCTCAACCCAGAAGTGGAGGGGTAGTGTAGTGTGGGATCATTTTAAGGTGGCAGATGATCCCAAGTATGCTATTTACCAGCACTGCCAAAGGCAGATCAGCTGGGGCAAGGAGGTGAAACACTTCACCACCATGGCGATCATGCTGCATCTCAGGAGGCAGCACCCCCTTGCCCTTGCTCCTCCTCAGCCTGGCACCAGTGGGAGTGTGCCCAAAGGGAAGTCCCCCTCTTGCTCCAAAGCCCCCGTCCCCATGAAGCAGAGGCAGGCTACCCTGGTGCGGTGAGAGAAAGCCACAGATAAAGAGTGGCACGTTCTGAAGGTGAGCGAGGTCACCCAGAGCACTGGGGAGATGCTTGCTCTGGATGGCCAGCCCTTCTCCTTAGTTGAGCAGCCAGGGTTCTGCCGGCTCATGGTGCTTGCGGCCCAATCCTACCAAGTGCTCGCATGCACCACCTTTAGCAGGACGGTGGTGCCCTCCCTGTATGAGGCATGCAGGGAGTACTTGAGGGAGGAGCTGCATAAGGTATGGCCAAAGGTAGCCTAGCACTTCACCTTGAACATCTGGAGCAGCTGGGGTGGAGAACACGCCTACCTCTTCCTCACAAGGCACTGATGTGATCAGTCAGGCTGTTGATGGGCTCTCCATCAAGGAGAGGTGATGGATGAGTTCTACATGGCAAGGGAGATCATGGTGGCCATGATCCCGGCATGGTGCAGGGGTGGCTCATTGGGCAGGGCAAGCTCAGCTGCAGGTTCATGGTCACGAACAACAGGGCCAATATGGTCAAGGCGGTGTGTGATGCCAACTTTGTTAGCATCTGCTGTGTGGCACACAAGCTGCACCTCATAGTCAGGGATGCCTTGGAGTGGGACGGGGCTGCCAGTGATGGTGCCATCACTACCACCCAGCTGTTTTCAAAATGTAGGAAGGTAGTGGGCTACTTCCACCGCAGCATCAAGCGAGGCAAGATGCTGCAGGAGAAACAGGCAGAGCTGAGCATCCTGCAGCACAAAATCACGCAGGATGCAGAGACTCAGTGGAACTCCACTTACCTGATGTTGGAAATGCTGGTGGAGCACCAGAAGGCCATCCATGAGATGGCCTTGCTCGGGAAGAGTGGGATCAGTGGCCCCTTAACAAAGCAGAGTGGGATATCATCTCCCAGATCTTGGTGGCCATTCCTCGAAGCTGCCAAATGAACCACTTGGCTTGGTGGCCATCCCTCAGCATTAGCAATGCCCTCCTTAGCCAGGTGATCCCCATAGTGAAGGAGCTTGAGAATGAAATGGAGAAGTTCCAGGGGATCAATGTTCCTGGCTGGGGCAAATCGCTGTCACCAGATGTGCAGGCACTGGTGAGGCAGCTGAAGAAGGGCATCAGGAAATGGATGGATCTGCTGTGGTCCAGTATGGTCCACATGCTGCTGGGCATGTGTGACCCGAGGGTGAAGTGGGGCATGCGCGACCCGAGGGTGAGGGGGAGCATGTGCACTGGCAGCACCAAAACCCTCGATCACTGGACGGACGTGAAGCAGGTAAAAGTGGAGAGGTACCTACTGCTACCTGGGGAGTTAGATATCCGGCAGGTAGTAGTGTGTCATAAATGCAATATCTATATTGAGTCCATGAGTTTCTATATCTAGGAGGTTGATGAAGTTAAATTCATAGGCCTGTCTGTGAAAAGTGGTTTATAAATTCAAACAAGCACTGAACATCACTAACCTCATCAGAAGCCAACTTCCTACAACCTAAAACACAAAACCTGCCAACATATCTCCAGTACCCCCACAAACTGCGCACTAGAATCTATCAAAGACAAGAATACACAACTACCTTTGGGGGCACATTTCTCACAAAAAGACCACTCTGTCTCCACTCTCACAGGCCTGATCCTCAAAGGGAATTTAAAAACCACTTTTGTCCCAGGGGTACAGGATCGGAAAATGGGGAAGCCTAGTTCAGAGGCAGATCCCAGACTAAGGCAGAGGAAGGAAAAAACTTACCTGTCGCAGAGGCCTGGAGAAACGAGGAAGCACGTGGTGAAAAATCACCTGAGCATTTGTCAGCTGCGCCCATATCCAGCTGGGGAAATTATTCAGACTACAAGCCAAGGGAGAAAGCATAGCGCCAAGTAAGGGGCAGCCAAGGGAAGTAGGCCTGACAGATGTAGGAAC